GGGGCAACACTGAGGGTTGCGATCCGTTGCCGGACACGGGAAAAAGACAAAAGACAAAAAAAAAAAAAAGAGAGGATGAAAAAAACACAAAAGTCAGTGCATTGCAGTGGTACGTCCAGAACAAGGTTTTATGGGGAGGGGGGAAAAGGACAGAACATTCCAGACAGATGCTGTCACAGAGGAACAGTGGAGCCGGGGGAGAAGGACACAGACTTTCCCTAGAAGACAGCTCACAAAAACTAAAAAGAATGTCCCACAAATAACCAGCTGGATTTATAATCCATGTTCGTTTGTAAGTAGTTTTTCCTTTTTCCAAAAAACAAAACAAAACTTAAAATTGTAAGCCCACGTAGGAAATAAAAGGAGACTTCCTATGAGACCTAGTTAGTGACTCGAATATGCAAGATCATGTATTTTGATGGTTTCACATTCAGAGATAACCTCAGACCCAATATCAAAGCCCTGGTCTGAAAATGAGCTTATCCCTACTCAGCAGAGAATGTGTCAGAGGTGCCCCCTGCTGACCTCCTGGTGATACTGTAACATCTCAACACGCCATGTGAAGAGGCTTGAAACAGAAATGACTTGACTAATTATTAAGCTCTTGTATTACTTGAGTTTTCTTGTTTCTTTCATTAGATCATAAGTAACGTGAAGAAAGGCATCTCTCTTCCTACCTCTGGGGTACTTCCCACAGCACCTAATGATGCTGGGAAGTTAGGAGGTTCTTAGTCAATTAATTCTTAGGTTCTTAGTTGGGTGAACTAATAACACGGAGTTAAAGATAATCCAGTGTGAAATGGGGAGAAAGCAGGATTCTTTTTATTTTAATTTTCACTAGATCTAATAAATATGAAATTTCAAACACACACACACACACACACACACACACACACACACACACACATGCACATCTTGTCATGGTCTGGTCTAGGTAGGCCAAATCTGGGGTAGAAAACTAGAAAGCCAACTTCTTTTGACTGAGGCTTTTTGCTGGCCTCCTCTCTTTCTCTTTTTTGTTCTAATTATCTCTTTAGTTAGAAAAGTAATACTTGTCCATTATTGACCAAAACCAAAAACTAATAAAAAACTGCAGTACGAAAGCATGTACAACCAAACACAAATCTTCTCTGACCTCAGACTTCCACTCCTCTAGTCCTTCTCCACAAGCGCCTAGTTCCCTTTCTTGTGTATCCTGAAGGAAAAGTCTAAGTGCATACAAGCATAAATGTGTTTGTAAATGTGTACGTGTGTGTATATTCATCCACACACACACGACTTATTTTTACAGTAATGTTAGCATACCATAAGCTCTTTCCTGCAATTTATTCTGTCACCTAATAACATGAGCTCATTCTAGCAGAGTCCCCTTTTTTTCTCTTTCTTTTTCTGGCCACATAAGATTTCCTTATATAGTTGCACCATCATTTTAACTAATCAGACACCTATTAATAGTTATTTAGGTCTTGTGGCAAAATAAACCATGCTATAATGAGCAAAAACAAATTATTTGAAATT